ACATAATTGAAAGTTCTTTGGAGTTCTCAATGATTTTTAAGGATATAAGGGTCCTTAGACCAAAAAGTTTGAGAACCCCTGCTGCACAGTATTTCATTGTGAGCAGGAATTTAATTTTAGCAGTCACTTCTGGGAATATTCTTGAGATAGTTAATACTTAGCTTAGTTTCCTCATCTGGTTTTTCTGCTCGTGGTTTCTTCTTCTCTCCAATCCCTCTTGCACGAGCCAATCAGATCATTCTCCAATACAGTTCTTACAGTGGCTATTACATCAGGTGCACTCTCTTCTTCCTGGCAGGAGTATTTTAGAAGGCTTTACCAAGAATGTGGAACTACACTGTGGCTTTAAGAATTTGGCCAGAAAGAGGTCAGAGGAGGACAGGGCAAACTTGAGAAATGTAAGCAAAAGACTTTTTCTTGGATTATGGATATGGTTTCCTGGGCTTCTCAGTGTAACATCATCTTCTAACACCAAACACTATAAAACAATCTTCTTGTGTCTTGGTAAGACAGAGCCCTGCTTTGTTCTCATCATAGTGCATACCACTCCCTGGCTTTTTTGTTTTGTGTTGTTTTTATGTTTTAATTTTCTTTCCTCTCACTGCCTTTCCCAGAATGTAAGCTCAAAGACTACAGAGATCTTGTCTGTCTTATGCATTGACTAGAAATGTGTATGAAACACAGTAAATAGCTAATACATCTTTGTTTAAATAGATGAATCAACTGGTCTTTATTTTGTAATTCATTGAGAACTTAGAAAAAAGTTCTAAGATACAGAATTTTGTTTTATTTCATGGGATATTAGGCTTTCCTTCATTTGGGCATATAAGGTAACAATGACATGAAGTATTTTACAGAGTTTCCAGAGCTAAATTTTGACATAAAATATGGCCTTTTCTTCCCTTAGTCTTATTTCATTTTTCTTAGCCATATAGGCAGTTACTGGTAAGTAACTTCACAACTCTCTGGAAATGTATGTCTTATTTAAGATTGCCATCATGTGTCTTCAAAATTATTTCTTATTCAAGCTCTAAATATTTATCAATTTACATATTTCATTATAAATTACAACCTCCATTCTGCTCTTTAAATGTCTCAACTCATGTAGATTTTCAGATTTAATCTTCTATAAGAGAACATATTTCCTGAGATTGGCTTCTAAGACTTTTGAAGTTGGAAGAAAATATTTTTATTTAAATGTTACCAGTATTCAATATGTACCAATATAAAAAGATCTTCAAGATGTGCTATTAATTATATATAAAGCAACAGGTAGAACAGTATATAAACTTTGTTCTTATTTATAGCTTATATAGTCTTATATATGTTTTCATTATGTAGACTCACTCTGATAGAAGACAACATGAAACTTGAAAACATGCTCTTGGGAAGGGGACAGGAGGACTGAGAAAGTGGTGGAATGCAAGGGGACTGACTTTTTAAATTTTGTTGTTGTTCTTTTTTAGAGACAGGGTCTTCCTCTGCCACCCAAGCTGGGGCGCAGTGGAATGATCATAGCTTAGTAGAGGGTTGAACTCCTGGATTCAAGAGATTCTCCCACCTTGGCCACCCAAGTAGCTGGAACTACAGGCATGTACCATCACACTCAGCTTATAAATGTATATAATTCTATTTGGAGATACAGGGTCTCACTACATTGCCCAGGCTGGTCTCAAACACCTGGCCTCAAGATGATCCTTCTGCTTCTGCCTCCCAAAGTGCTGGGATTACAGGAATAAACCACCAGGCTTGGTCCAGCGTTTTTGATATCAGATACTCTTTGGTATCTTTAAAATTTTGTACATTATATATGCATTAGTTAATTATTGAATTTTAAAGAAGTAAATTATGTGAGTGTGTCTACATACACCACTTTAAAGACAGAGATTAGCAGAAAATATTAAAAATATAACTCAATTACCCGCTGTATACAAGGAACTTACTTCAAACATTTGAAATAAATATAACAAATTAAATGGATAGGAAAAGACATATTCTATAAACATTAATCAAAAGAAAGTGAGAATAGTTATATTTGTATCAGATAAAATAGACTTATTAGCAGAGAAATTTACCAGAGACAGAGTGACATTACACAATGTTTTTAAGATTTATTATCATTATTATTATTTTACAGACAGCATATAACACTGTCATTCAGGCTGGAGTACAGTGGCATGATCATAGCTCACTGAAGCCTTCAACTCCTAGGCTGGGCAATCTTCTCCCCTCAGCAGTCAGAGTAGCTAGGACTACAGGGGTGCACCACCATGCCCAGCTATTTTATTTTTTGTAGAAATGGAATATTACTATGTTTCCCAGGCTGGTCTCAAACTCCGTTCAAGCAGTCCTCCTACCTTGGCCTCCAAAAGCACTGGGGATTACAGGCATCAATCACTGTCTGAGCCTGGCCCTACGTAATGTTAGAAGGGTGAATCTACCAGGAGAACATATAAGTCCTAGATGTGTGTACAAAAAACAACAGAGTTATGAAATATCTGAAACAAAAACTGGTGAAACTGAAAAGAGAAATAGACAAATCTACAATTATAGTTGGAAACTTCAACAGCCCTTTTCAACAATTGACATAATAACTAGGCAGAAAATCAGCAAGAATATAGAAAACTTAACATTATCTACAAATAGGATCTAATTGATATTTATGGAACACTCCACCAGACAAACAGCAAAATACACATCCTTCTCAAGAACGCATGGAACCTATATATACTGAGATAGATCATATCCTGGGCCATAAAACAAACCTCAACAAATTTAAAGGACTGAAACCATATAAACTGGATTCTTTGACTACAATGGAAGTAAACTAGAAATCAACAAGAGAATGATAAAGAATGCATTTCTAAATAATTCATAGATCAGAGGAAGTCCCAAAAGAACTGGATGAAAATGAAAGTACAGCATATAAAAATTTGTGGGACACAGCTAAAGCAGCGTTTAGAGGGAAATTTACAGCATTAAATGCTTATATTAGAACAGAGAAAAAGTCTGAAATAAATAACCTAAACTCCTACCTCAAGAACCTAGAAAAAGAAGAGAACAGTAAACACAAAATAAATAAAAGGAAGAAAATAAAGCAGAAATTGATGAATGTGAAGCCAGAAAAATAATTCAAAAAAATCAATAAAACTAAAACCTAATTCTTTGAGAAGATCAATTACATTGACAAACTTCTAGCAAGACTGAGAAAGTAAAAGAAAAAGAAAATTCACAAATTAACAAAACTAAGAATAAAACAAGGAATACCATGACAGATCCTACAGATATTAAAAAGACAATATGGGAATACTGTGAGCAATTCTACATGTAAAACTCTGGCAATTTTGATGAAATGGACCAACTCATTGAAAATCACAAAGTACAACAACAAATTCAGAATGAAATAGATCATTTGTGTAGTCCAATAACTATCAAGAAAATTGAATTCACAATTTAAAAGTTCTCCCAAAATAAATTATCAGGTCCAGATAGTTTCACTGGAGAATTCTTCCCAATGTTTACCAAAGAATTAACACCAATTTTACACAGTTTCCTCTGGAAAATACAACACTCCTAATTCATTTTATGAAGCTATTATTACCCTGTTATCAAAATCATAGGGAAATAGTACAAAAAAGACCATAGGCCAATATCACTCATGAAATACATGTAAAAGTTCTTAAGAAAAATTAGCAAATAGAATTCAGTAATATTTCAGATAAATTAAGTATATTCCATGACTAAGTGAGCTTATTTCAGGGATGTAAGGTTAGTTCAATATTTGAAAATCAATCAATGAATCCACCATTCAACAGACTAAAGAAAAATGTGACATGATCATTCCACTTGAGAATGAGCACCTGAAAAAATTCAACGCCCATTCATACCAAAAACTCTCAGAAAACTAGATACAAAAATGAATTTCCTCATCTGGATAAAGCTACTATTACACTTAATGATGAAATATTTAATGCTTTGCCTCAAAGATCAGAAAGAAGACAAAGACATCTCCTCTTATCATTCTTATTCACTTACAGTACTGGAAGTTCTATTTAGTACAATAAAGCAAGAAAAGGAAACAATAATTAATTTATTAGAAAGAAAGAAATAAGACTAATTCTATTTGTATGTATAATTGTCTATGCAGAAATTCCTAAGGAATCTACAAGCAATCTCCTAAAAATACTAAGTGAGTTCAGTAAGGTCATAGGATAGAAAATGAACATATAAAAATTGATTCTATTTCATTATACTAGTAATGACACATAAACACTAAAATTAAAAATACAATACAACTTACAATAACTCAAAAAATGAAATATTTTAGTGTAAATTCAACAAAACATAAACAGTATTTATATGCTGAAAGTTACAAAACGCTGATGAAGGAAATAAAAAAATATCGAAATAACTAGAGACACAGGCTGTGTTTAATGACTGGTAGACTCAACATATTAAAGATGTTAATTTTCCCTAAATAGATATATAGGCTTAAACCAATTCCTTTCAAAATCCCAGGCAGAATTTTTGTAGATAGGGGCAAAATATTTCTTTCTAACATTTATGTGAAAAAGGGAGAAAAATAGCTTTAAATTTTTTTAATTAAGTGAGAGAAATCAATCTATTTAATTTTAAGACTTAGCATGTAACTATAGTAATCAAAATTGTATAATACTGGTAGAAGGACAGACACATATATCAGCAGAACTGAATAGAAAATCCAGAAACAGAGCCAAACAAATATGCCTAACTGACTTTTGACGAAGGTGCAAAAGCAATTCAATGGAGGAGAAACAGCCTTTTCAATATATGGTGCTGGAGCAATTGGACATCCATAGGAAAATAAATAAATATGAACTTCACATTTTATTACACATAAAAATTAACCCAAAATGTATTGCAGACTTAAGTGTAATTTGAAAAACTGTTTTGCATTCTATGTTAGAAAAAATATGATAAAAATTTTGGAATTGAGGTCTAGGCAAAGAGTTCTTAGATTTGTGCTCTCTTTGGCAGCACATATACTAAAATTGGAATGATACAGAGAAGATTAGCATGGCCCTAAACAAGGATGACACACATATTCATGAAGCGCTCCATAATTTTCAAAATAGACCCAGCTGAGTAATGACTCTCAGAGTTTGAAGACTGGTTCTCTGAACTGACTCAATCAGACAAACATAAAGAAAAAACATTATCTTAATGAAAAAAAAACTTTCTGAGAATTATGGGATTACATAAATAGACCAAATCTGTGACTCATTGGTGTCCCTAAATGAGAGAGAGAAAACAAGCAACTTGGAAACATATTTGAGTATATCATCCATGAAAATTTCCCCAACCTCACTAGAGAGGCTAACATTCAAATTCAAGAAAGGTAGAAAATGCCTGTGAGATTCTGTAAAAGACGACCACCCCCAAGACACATAGTCATCAGATTTTCCAAGATTGACATAAAAGGAAAAATATAAAGGAAGACAGAGAGAAGGGGAAAGTCACCTACAAAGGGAATCTTGACAGGCTAATAGCGGACTTTTCAGCAGAAATCCTGCAAGTCTACAAGAAGAGATTGGCAGGGGGTGTTATATTCAATATTCTTAAAGAAAAGAAACTCCAATAAAAAATTTCATATCCAGCCAAACTAAGCTTTTAATATAAAGATTCTTTTCAGACAAGCAAATGCTAAAGGAGATATCTGTTAGGTCTAAGGGAATTAATTACCATCTGGTCTACCTTACAAGCAATCTTTAAGGAAGTGCTAAATATGGAAATAAAAGACTGTTACTAGCCACCAGAAAAACACACAAGTACATAGACCAATGACACTATAAAGCAACTACACAATCAAGTCTGCATAATAACCAGCTAACAACATGATGACAGGATCAAATTCACACATATCAGTATTAATCTTGAAGGTAAATGCACTAAATACTGCAATTAAAAAGGAAAGAGTGGCAAGTTGAATACAGAAGTAAGACCTAACTGTATCCTGTCTTCAAGAGACCCATCTCACATACAATGACACTATAAGCTTAAAGTAAAGGGATGGGAAAAAAAATCTACCAAGAAAACGGAAAACAGAAAAAGAAAGGAGGGGTTCCTATTCTAATTTCAGACAAAACAGACTTTAAACCAACAACAATCAAAAAGACAAGAAAATTACATAATGGTAAGAGGTTCAATTCAACAGGAAGGCCTAGCTACTCTAAATAGATATGCACCCAACACATGAGCACCCAGATTCATAAAACAAGTTCTTAGAGATCTGTGAAGAGACATAGATAACAATACAATAATAATGGGAGATGTCAACATTTCACCAACAGTAATAAACAAATCATTAAGGCAGAAAAGTAACAAAGATATTCAGGACCTGAACTCAACATGTAACCAAATAGACCTACCTGATATCTATAGAACTCTGTATTCCAAAATAGCAGAACATACATTCTTCTCATCTGCACATGGCACATACTCTAAAATTGACCATATAATCAGCCATAAAATAATTTTTAGCAAATTCAAAAAAACCCCACAAAAAACAAAAATCATACCAACCACATTCAGATCACAGTGCAATAAAATGAAAAACAGTACCAAGAAGATTACTCAAAACCATATAATTACATGGAAATTAATCTTCTCTGGAATGATTTCTGGATAAACAATGAAATTAAAGCAAAAATCAAGACATTCTCAAAAATTAATGAGAACAAAAATATAGCATACCAGAATCTCTAGGACTCAGCTAAAGCAGTATTAAGAGGAAACTTTATAGCATGAAATACCCACATTAAAAAGTTAGACAGGTCTCATATTAACAACCTAATATCACACCTTGAGGAACTAGAAAAACAAGAGCAAACCAATCTCGAAACTAACAGAAGACAAGAAATAACCAACATCAGAACTGAACTGAGAGAATGTAAGATGCAGAAAATCAGACAAAAGATCAACACCATCCTAAGGTAGTTATTTGAAAGAATAAATAAGATAGATTGGCTGCTAGCAAGACTAATAAAGAAAAATGGGAATAGCTCAGACAAAAAAATCAGAAATGACAAAGGGGACATTACTATTTATCTTACAGAAATACGAAAAAAATCAGAGACTATTATGAACACATATATGCACACAAACTAGAAAACCTGCAAGAAATGGATAAATTCATGAAAATATACAACTTCCCAAACTGAACCAGGAAGAAATTCAAACCCCAAACAGACTTATAATAAGTTCCAAAATTGAATCCCTAATAAAAAGCCTAACAACCAGAAAAATCCCACAACCAAATGGATTCACACTGAATTCTACCAGACACGTAAAGAAGAGCTGGTACCATTTCTATTTAAACTCTTCCAAAAAACTGAAAAGGAGGGACTCCTCCTCAACTCATTCTATGAAGCCAGCATTATTCTGATACTGAAACCTGGCAGAGACACAACAACAACATAAACTTCAGGCCAATATGCATGATGAACACAGAAGCAGAAATCCTCCACTAAATACTAGCAAACCAAATTCAGCAGTACATCAAAAAGCTAACCCACTGCCATCAAGTAGGCTTTATCCCTGGAACGCAAGGTTGGTTCAACATACATGAACTAATGTGATTCGTCACATAAACAGAACCAAAAACAAAAACCACATGATTTCAATAGATGCAGAAAAGGCAGTCAATAAAATACAGCATCCCTTCTTGTTAAAAACTCTCAACAAACCAGGCATTGAAGAAACATATTTAAAAAAAATAAGGGCTATCTATGGCAAACTCACAGCTAATACCCTACGGAATGGGCAAAAGCTGGAAGTATTCCCCCTGAGAACTAGAACAAGACAAGGATGCCATCTCTCACCACTCCTATTCATCACAGTACAGGAAACCCTAGCCAGACTTAGGCAAGAGAAAGAAATAAAAGGTATCCAAATAAAAAGAGAGGAAGTCAAACTATCTTTGTTTGCAAATGATATGATTCTATACTGAGAAAATCCCAGTCTCTGCCCAAAAGCTCCTAAAGCTGAAGAACAACTTCAGCAAGTTTAAAGATACAAAATCAATGTACAAAAATCAGTAGCATTTCTATTCTGTAATAATGTCCAAGCTGAGTGCTAAATCAAGAATGCCATCCTATTCACAATAGCCACAAAGAATACAATACCTAGGAAATGCAGTTCATCAGGGAGATGAAAGGTCTCTACAAGGAGAACTACAAAACACTGTTCAAAGAAGTCAGTGATGACAAATGAATAGAAAAATATTCCATGCTCATGGATAAGAAGAATCAATATTGCTAAAATGGCCATACTGCCCACAGCAATGTACAGATTCAATTCTATTCCTATCAAATTGCCAATGACCTTTTTAACAGAATTAGAAAAAACTATTTTAAGCTTCATATAGAACCAATATGTAGAGCCCAAATAGCCAGGACAATCCTAAGCAAAAGGAACTAGTTGAAGGCATCATATTATCTGTCTTCAAACTGTACCACAAGACTACAGTAACTAAAGCAGCATGGTTCTGGCACAAAATTAGACACATAAAGCAAAGGACCAGAATAGAGAGCCCAGGAGTAAAGCCATACACCTACAACCACCTGATCTTTGACACAACTGACAGAAATTAACAATGAGGAAAGGATTCTCTATTCAATAAACTGTGCTGGGATAACTGGCTAGCCATATGCAGAAGATTGAAACTGGACTCCTTTCTTATACCATATATAAAAATCAACTCAAGAAAGATTAAAGACAAATATAAAACTGAAAATTATAAGTATCCTAGAAGAAAACCTAGGAAATACCATTCTAGACATAGGCCTTGGCAGAGATTTTATGATGAAGATGCCAAAATCAATTGTAAGAAAAACAGAAATTGACAAGGGGATCTAACTAAACTAAAGAGCTTCTGAACAGCAAAAGAAACTATCCACAGAATAAATAGACAACCCGTACAACAGGAAAAAATATTTGCACACTGTGCTTCTGACAAAGTCTACTATCTATAGTCTGTAAGGTACTTAACAATCTAAAACAAAACCATTAAAAGTGGGAAAAAACATAAACAGACACTTTTCAAAAGAAAATATATACAAAGACACAAATATAAAATTCTCAACATTTCTAATCGTTAGAGGAATGCAATTTAAACCACATTTAATGGCTATTAAAATGTTAAAAAGATATAGCAGATGCTGGCAAGGCTGCAGAGAAAAGGGAGCACTTATACACTGTTGGTGAGAATGTAAGTTAGTTCAGCCATTAATTCAAGTAGTTTGGTGATTTCTCAAAGTACTTAAAATAGAACTGCCATTTGGCCCAGCAATCTCATTATTGGGTACTTGCCCAAAGGAATATAAATCTTTCTACTATAAAGATATATGTGCATATATGTTCACCAAAGTACTATTCACAATAGCAAAGACGTGTAATCAACCTAAATGTCTATCAATGGTAGACTGGATAAAGAAAATGTGGTACATATATACCATAGAATACTACACAGCCATAAAAAAAGAATGAGATCATGTCCTTTGTAGCAACATATATGGAGCAGACGTCCATTTTACTAAATGAACTAACACATAACAGAAAACCAAACACCAAATGTTCTCACTTATAAGTGGGAGCTAAACATTCAGTAAACATGGACACAAAGAAGAAAATGAGAGACACAGAGGCTTAATTGTGCAGGGTAGAAGAAAGGTGAGGATTGAAAAACAGCCTATCAGGTACTATGCTAATTACCTAAGTGATGAAATCATATGTACACCATCCCTTCAACACACAATTTATCAATAGAACAAACCTGCACGTGTACCCTGAAACTGGAATAAAAGTTAAAAAAATAGTTCTTAGACTTGACAACAGGGACAAAATTCATAAAAGGAAATCTTGATAAACTGGGTTTGATCGAAATGAAAATGTTTGCTCTGCAAAAGACCATAAAGAGGCTGAAAAGACAAGCTACACTCTCGGAGAAAATACTTGCAAATCACATATCTAACAAAGGGCTAGTATCTAGGATGTATAAAGAACTCTTAAAACTGAAGAGTGAAAAAACAAATCATTGAATTAGAAAATGAACAAAAGGGATGGCGTAT